AGAATGGAGAGCACAAAGGTTAGAATTCAAGGCTATAAGGGTGACAAACCCAGGTAAAACCGTAAAAGAGACCCTTTTTTATACTTTTGCTATTAAGAATTAAGATTCATTTTAAAGTTTGAATTCTCCTCGGAAAACTGTATAAAATGCCAGGTCCTCTGCTATTAAAGCGTCTGTCTACCCTCTCTACGGTGCGCTTGATTCGTTATCACTGAGCAGATAGAACCTTAGGCAGCCATTTAATGAACCGTGTTGCAAGAGAATTTGCTTGTTTCAAGATTTCACAAGGATTGTTAAATCTCTTTCCTTTGTTTTGTCTCTGGTGATAGGTCCAAATGGAGAAGAATATGCTTGGTACCAGTGTACGGTAGGCTTATTTTTGCTCTCTTCATCTGACTTAAAGTTCACTGGTCTAATAGGAAAACCGAGGAGTGTTGCAAAAGCTTTCAAATTGGTCTTGAGGCCAACAGAAAATTGCCTAATCTAGCAGCTTATATCATAAGCATGTTGGTCGATCAGTTGTATATTGCTCATAATTTAGTTTCAAACTCTGGAGTATAAATGAAAAGATTTTGAGAAATTAATTTATTATTGTGTATTGTTTCTGGAAATTTCATGAGACAAAAACCACTTATATTTTTGTTGTTAGGCAACTGTTTTTGTCGATCTTGGTTTGGTAATGACTCTGGAATTCTATTTTCCAAAGGTCTTTATCTTTTTGCAGCTAAAATGGCTTTCTTTCTTAAGGTTAATGGTGGGCAAGAAGGTCGACCAATTAGAGCTTATGAGCTTGCAAAAGCAGTCGAAGAGCTGGGAGCAGGAGAAATACTGCTTAACTGTATTGACTGTGATGGTATAGAATATTTTCTTCTCTCCCTCTCTCTCTCTCTTTCTTTTGGGTTTTCCCCTTTTTGCTAATGAGAATGATAATCTTCTCTTAAGTGTTCTTTTTCAGCATCACTTTTGAGTTGTGTTTGGAAAAATATAAATTTCTTCATGGTTACAATTGAATGCGCAATTGTAATTTCCGAAGCTCCAAGAATCATTTATTTCCATTTAATATGCATTTGGTTCATTTCTAGATTGATGTGTTTCTTTTGTTTGTTTTCATGCTTAAGTGCTTACTATGCCACCTTTTTGTAGGCCAAGGCAAAGGGTATGATCTAGATTTGATAAAGTTCATCTCAGATGCTGTCGACATCCCCGTCATTGCAAGTAGTGGTGCTGGTGCGGTTGAACATTTCTCAGAGGTGTTCAGGAAAACAAATGCATCTGCAGCCCTTGCTGCTGGCATTTTCCACCGGAAGGAGGTAATTTAGTCAATCTGTGGAATTTAATAAAGCACTTACAAACTATAAAGTTTAAGTTTCCTTAGCATTTAAATGAAATCAGAAAAATCTACTTCTTTACTAATTTATATGCTGCTTATAAAATCTACCAAATTGTCTGGGTTTTAGGTACCAATTCAGTCCGTTAAAGAGCACTCGTTGAAAGAAGACATAGAGGTTAGACTCTAATCTTATCATTGACATGGAGGCTTCTCGGATAGAGTCAGAGGCACCATCAAAACATATCCTTAAGGTCAGTGCTTGGGAGAATCGCCTAAATTTGAACTCAACATCTGTTGTATACTATCTTTCATTTTTCGAAGATTGCAGTTCAGGATTGATCTGGTGGTTCTTTTTAACAAATTTAATAATTTCTTTGGATGGAAATTGGAAACACTTCAGATTTTGTATTCAGTAGTAGTTTAAACAGCATGCATAAGGGAACTATAGCTCGATAATAAAATTCTATCCCACCTCAATCGCCTCTCTATTGTTTTGTTGTTGTCCTTGCAGTCATCAAGTGCTTGGATGTAGATGACACTTCTATCCCACCAGAACAAGTCTCTTGCAATGGCTCTATCTTCATTGTTTTTCTGGTCATAGAATTTTATTTTTGGTATTTCTAATATGTATCTTTTACTGTATAGATTAAAAGTATAATAAATACATATTTTTATCATAAATTTATATTAATAATAAAAATTAAATTTTAATTTAGACTATTCAATTAAATTTATCAATTTAATATCAACACAAAATATTAATTTTTACATTTTTTATATACATTTATGACTAAAAATATTTTTACAAACCTTGTGTTCTAAAAATATAGATTAAAAAAATCATTTTATTTTAGACTTCATTCTTGTTGAAAATAATAACAAAGGAATAAGAAATTTAATTTACGGGAAAAGAAATCAACATATACCGTGAATGATTTTCAACGCAACAAAGTAATTGAAATGTGTGCAAATGTCAGGTCGATGACAATACATGAAATCCAGAACTTGTATTGGATTGGGTATGCCCACTGCACCAGAAATGAAGTTTTTCATAAATAAATTGAAGACCAACTCAAACATATAGTTAAATATTCTTGATTTAGTTTCAATCATAGCCTTGCCGCATTCGAGGAGCTCAATAACGAGGTGAATCAACAAATGATACCCTACAAAACTTGAATCCCAAGGAATTATTTTTTTCACTGAAGCAGAAGTATATATCAAATCCTGGGTATACCAGAAAATAGCTGCCTGTGCCAGAGTCTTCAAATGTCAAGAAGTAGTCTCCGGGGGTCCTCCACAACATCCTTAATACGACGCAAGAAGAAGACTGCCTCTCTTCCATCAATCAGCCTATGATCATAAGTTAGGGCAAGATACATCATCGGCCTTGGAACAATGTTGCCCCCAACAACCATTGGACGGGACACTATGGAGTGCATACCCAAGATAGCTGACTGCAAAAGATGTTGAAAATTGTGAGACTTAATTCCAATAACCAAAGGAACTATGGACGACAAAGACGACAAAGAAAATAAGAAACTATGCCATCTAGTTATAACTTATTGACCCAGAGAAGCACAAACCTGGGGAGGGTTGATAATAGGGGTGCTTATGAGACTTCCATAAACACCACCGTTGGATATGGTAAATGAGCCTCCAGCCATCTCATCAATGGATATGGTTCCATCATTTGCTTTCTTTGCAAGGGTGTTGATCTCCTTCTCTATCTCAGCAAAATTCATCCTATCAGCATTGCGGATAACTGGAACAACAAGGCCCTGGAAGAACAGAAAGCAAAAAGGACAAGTAGCTCCAGGTCAGCTCTGCAAATTAAAAACAATGAAAACAAGGAAGACTCACAAACCTTTGGAGTTCCAACGGCTATGCTGATATCAATATAATCTCTATATATGATATCATCCCCATCAATTACTGCATTAATAATAGGCTGATGCTGAAGTGCACTAACAGCAGCCTAAAATATTTAATAATAAAAAATGTAAAATTAATAAGCTAGTGTAAGCAAATATACACCCAAATGCTCTTATAAATAAGCTATAAGCAATCTGAAATGCATAGAATACACCTACTTTAACAAAGCCAGACATTAGACCTAATTTGACTCCATGCTTTTCAACGAAAGCATCCTTGTACTCAGAGCGGAGCTTCATCAAATTAGTCCTACAACGAGATGCTCAGTTTAGGCATAAACTCAAGAAAATCAACTCCATCAGAAACATACAAGACACAGTTTTATCAGGAGGACTAAATAGAAAATCGAGGATAAAAAAAAGAAGATAAACATATCTAGTTTAAGCACATAAATCATGCTCTTTATGCTTAATACCTAAAACCAAAAGAAAGATGCCCAAAAAGGGCATTGATGAATTGTGAATCGTGACCAACTAAAAGGATAACACCTAAGACCATGAAAAATATAATGGCAGCTGAAATGAGCCAAACGGTCCCAAAAGACCCAATAAAACACTAGTCAAATTATATTGAGCTCACATGTCAACTTCATTGAAAGTTGTCAACATTGCAAAAGTGTTTTGAGAATCCTTCAATCGTGTTGCAACTCGCTTCCGGAGCCTAGTCATTGGAACCTGTTATAAACAAGAAATTGAATCCACACCATTAAAATTTCCTCACTGACAGCCTAGTCATAAAAATACAGTTTAAATAAGAAGCATAAGAACTTACTCGTCTTTCCCTTTCCTTAGGTGGAAGCTGGGGTTCTGTAGCAGAGTGCTTTGGAGGTGATGGTACAGGTGCTTTAGTTTTCTCTGCAGCAGTAGTTTCAGGCTTACGCTTTGGCTCTCCCTTTGGAGTTGCAGCTGGAGAAGGCTTAGAAGCAGCTTTTTCTGGTATCTTTTCAGAGGGAGCAACATGAGCTACACCCTCACCAGACTTTGAAATGATAGCAATCTTGGTACCAGGCTCTACAGTATCCCCTTCCTTGGCTACATGCTGCCAAATTTAAAAAATTCAGGATCTGATCAATTCCTCTGGCTAAACATTAGGTGGGGGACATTGGTGAATGGCAAAATAAGCTAGGAGAAAAATGTTCTCACAAGGAGCCAGATTTATGCATGTGTTACCTCTTTGAGCACACCAGCTTCAGGACTGACAACATCAATTGTCACCTGAAGATTAACATAAATGGTATTAGAAACATATATCACATTTCAGCTCAACAGTAAAAAAGATGGGAACACAACAGAACCTTATCTGTCTCTATTTGGGCAATTGGCTCATCAACTTCCACTCTATCACCAGGATCTATTCTCAGAAATTGAGATGGAAACATAGCATAAGGATTTATAACTTTGAATAACAAACATTTTTAGTGAATGGAAGCATGGAAGTCAGCACAAAGAAAACATACTCTTCAAAAACTTTGCCAGCGTACCATCAGAGATGGATTCTCCCATAAAAGGGACAACAGCCTCAACCACATCACCTTCAATGCAAACCGGAAACAAAGATGATAAGTCAAAATTTGATATAATCACAATGTAGAAACAACTGATAAGGGCTTTCAAGGCACAAACTATGGACTTCCTCATTTATTTACACTTAATATAGGTAAAATTCAGAATACTAGGGTAAGACATCATTTCTCCATTTGACATTAAGAAAATGATCAAATGAAAATCAGAATGCTTGGGAATTAAATGGAACAGAATACACCTTTCATCAAGTACCAGAATGAAAAGCTATCTGAAAAAAGTTATGAGAAAAAAATATTAGGAGAAGACATCAAAATCTCACCATCTCCTGACGAAAATGGTCTAATCCACTTCTGCATGGTGGCACCTGAGTGAACACTGGAGATGACATCCCTGCGCATAAAATAGTCATTATGATATACGACTGCTGAGAAGCAATAAAGTGCTAACAGAAGCAGCTCCATTTTCATAGAGTTATCCAGAACGATAAGCAACTCTCATAATTTTAATACTGCTAAATACATCTTTTACTTATTCACCTCCACACCTACATAACAAACAAAACCAGTTTTAAACTAGAATTGTGGTTCAACACTAAACTTATAGCTTGTTACGCTTGTACCACGGCAGTTATAACTATTTGTCTAGACAAGTTTGGTATCTCAATCAATCATGCCAATGTGATCATGTGAAGCTAAGTAAACTTATCAGGATAGTAAAAAAAAACAGCTTCACTAACCTTGTCTGCCTCAAACCAATAGAGCACCCTGTAGAAGCAGAAAATACCCGTTTTAAGTCACAAGATGATAAACAGAATTATTTAAACAACAAAAAGCCAATGAAAAACAATCATACCAAGTAAAACATGATGAGAGAAGTTCCGAACATGCGTCAATCCTCTTGGGTGAAGTAATATCTGTTCCAATGCTTGAAATTTAAAGCTTATGAGAATATTTCCCAACGAACAAGCAAAATAGAAAACCGAGTCACATAGTAACAAATTAAAAGTTTAAATCAAGTCCATTCGATATCAATAACGAATTTGGAAACATAGAGATACAAGATCAATCACAATTCACAGAGAAATGAACAAAAATAAATTCAGAAAATGGAATTAAAAGCAACAACTACCTCTTCCCCGGACGCGGAAGCTCCAGGTCGAATCACCTTGAAGGACTGCCTCAACACCTGAAACCAAATGAATAGATTAAAAACTTCAACGAAAACGACAATCGCATTATAAAAAATTCAGCTCCTAGCTCCCTACGCTCACTTAAACTCACTCAAACGCATCAATAGGAAACAATCCAAGAGATTCAGCATCCTTACCGAAGCAGACGAGCATCCAGTCCCGATTCTTCTCCTAACGACGCCCAACATCACCGATTCAGTCTCTGCTTTCCGAAATTCGATTCACTTTCCGGCGGTTTCTCTGGAATCAAATTGAGAAAAATCAATGAAGCAACGTCTTGAATGCGAAGAAAAGGATATCTGAGAAGCGACGTTGGACGTTTTGACTCGCCTGATGGCGAAGGAGTGACGAGGTTTGAAGAGTATTCAGCACGTGAACGGGTTAAAGCCAACTCTCGTCCCTCTACTTTGTAAAAAAGTTCAATTTAACCCTTCTACTATGTAATTACCTCAAGTCGTCCCTCTACTTCATTTTGAGCTCACATGTCCTCCTTTTACTATTCAAAAGGTGATTAATTTCGTCCCTCCATCCCTTCTGGCTAACACCGTCACTTTTACCGTTAACACCCAATGGTTTGGGCCGTTTGGCGTTTACAATTTTACATATATTTTTATATTATTTTTTTTTATCTAATTTAGCTATAATAGGACCCACCAATGCCACATCATATTCCGTATTAGCATCTTTCTACAGGAAAATTTTACCAACATTTTTTTTTTCAATTATTAGCCATGTTTATTTATCTCTTTCTATCAATTTTTTAGTTGAGTCAATTAAATGAATATTTTTCAAAACTATAAAGGTAATCAAGTAAACTTAATTTTTTTTTAAAAGAAATAGATAAAAAAATTTTGAATTTTATTAAGGTTCAAAAAAAATTATAACTAGAAAAATAAAATTTTATAATACCTATTAATATATCCTTAACTGTAAGTTTTGGGTGACATAAGGTGAACTCATAATTTGTGATTTTATTCATTTGTAAAAATAGGCTAAGCAAGTACATAGGAGAAGTATTGTTTATATTTGTATTTAATTTAAAAGCTAATAGATATAAAATTTTGATACTTAATATTTATTTAAGTATTAAAAATCTATTCCTATTATTTAACTTGTTGATGTACAAGTGGTATTGTAGTGGGTGTAGACAGAGGTACGTGAATAGACAAAGGTCATGAGATATCAGAGGCATGTGGATAGACAAAGGTCATGAGATCAGAGGTATGTAGGTAGACTGAGCTCATGAGACGTAGGATGTCAGAGGTCACGAGATGAAGCATGCTGTCAGTCCGAAGTCGTGTACTCCGAAGCTGCCTGAGATGCGCAACCTCTGACATCCGAAGCAGCCCCCGACATCCAGCTACCTCGATTCGATTGAAGGACGATGAGCTCAGTCGGATTCAAGCTCGTCCCCTCTGTTCTTGCTCTGCAGTAGTTCTGTACACATGCAAACCCCTCATGGGAAGTACTTGCGATGTTTGACACGCGTCGCTCGGATTTCTCTGAAGGATCAACACGTGGACATCCCCTGAAGGCCTATAAATACCCCTCAGGGTCCACCTCTGAAAGGTATGGGAAATCGACCTCAAACTCAGGTTTTACTCTCACTCCATAACTAGTAGCTCTGATTATTGCTGACTTAAGCATCAGAGTGTCTACCCCGAGAACCAACCTCGGGGCCTTGCAGGATAGCCGAAGTGAAGACTTAAGATCTGGTGTACCTCCCAGTTCTCTGCAACTACATTGGTATAGTTGCAAATATACTTATATATTTGTTAAATATTATAATCTTTTAATATAAATTAAAATACAATTAAATCTATTGCAAAACATATATTT